TGTTGGAGCATACGTAATCCTAAAATGTAGCATCGTACTACAGATGGCGTTTTCCGCGCCATTTGTGGTATTTTCTAAAACGCGCTGTTAAGACAGCAGGTAAAAGTTGGTCTGTGTTCTGTCGGAGCTGATGAGATTTAAAAAGATCGAAATCGCGATCCGCGTCTGGCAGTTTCGACAGAATACAGACCACTTCGAATTATTTAATTCGATTATGGTAACGTGCTTATCACGTTGAGGTTAGCCACGCCGGAATTCGTTTCAGCAAGTAAATATCCATATATTTAAATGGACCTTGTTGGAGCGTACGTAATCCTAAAATGTAGCATCGTACTACAGATGGCGTTTTCCGCGCCGTTTGTGGTATTTTCTACCGGATTTATGAACAAATACACATGATTTGCGATCACCTCCTATATGTTCATTTTATTTGGTTAAATGAGCCCCTATTATTCAACCCTTTATTACAGCATTATATGTGACATCTGACATGGTTATTTCTACTTTAATAAGTTTCTTAATTACCGTGTTCTTTAAATCATCCTACTTGCTATTCAAATTACGTAAACATTATTTCATTCGCCTGGCTTAAATGTATCCCTAATTTAATTACCGTTCGACAACTTTAAATTAAATTAGTTTGTAAGTTATTTAAGTCTGTAGACGACGTAGGTTCTGTTGAATTGCAAAGCAACGGCATTGTATTTAGGTCAATAAACTTTTTTACGTAAATTAACAGAAAAATATTCGAACAGATATGAGCTCCAAAAATTTTTATTTCAGCGACCGCAATAACAAGTTTTTGTTGATATTAGAAAATAACGAACTTCTCAAAAACTTTTGCTTATAATTTATTTTTAAAGAGAAATTTCAAGTAAATGTATTTTAAGTTAAGACGATGTGCGATTAAGAATTAAAACTTTTTTTATTAAAAAATAACCCCGGAAAAAAATATCGTACTGAAATATAAAAATGTTGTTGCATATTAGATATTTGTGGAATCTATAATTTATTTGTTCATTTATGAAAACGGAAAAAAGGATTTACAAAGAAGGTTTACAGCACTAAACTACAGCCTACCCTTATTTTAATTTTTGTGTGGGTGCACTACCTTAGCTTTCTTTAAGAATTACTTTACTAATTTTCATGTAAGGAATGGAACACTCATCATCATAAGGTCGTCACTCCTAAGACTGGTTGGACACGCACCTCCACTCTTTCCTATCCTGAGATAATCTTCTCATTTCCCTAAAACTAGAACAACCCACATCCTTAACTGTTTGCGAACCGTAATTTAATCTAAGTCTTACCTTTACTTCTCTTAACTCCTGTTTCTGCCTCTTACATGTCTCTGACAAGCCCTTTATGCCTGAGTAGGTGTCCTATCTACCAACCTATCTCGCCTTTTTCTTTTTGACTTCCATAGAGTTTCGAATTTCTAAATTAACCATTCTCCAGTATAGAAGTGACTTCTTTTTCTTGAAGGCGACTCGACCCTGCGCTATCCTCTGCTTTATATCCCTACTACTCCTTCCGTCCTGACTTATCTGACTTCCTAGATACCTAAAATCAGCCACTTCTTCTAATTTTTCGTTTCCTATCTTTATATTCGCTCTTTCTCTGCAGTCCCAGCTCTATAACTGCCTGTTGCTCTTTATACAAACTAATTATCACTCTTCTATCTCTGTAACTCATCCCTACATTTTTAAGTATATTTAACATCTTGACATTAACATTTTATATACACAAGCAAATATGTCTGCTTCCGTTTTTTTTGTATTATTAATAGCGGAGTTTTAGTGCAGTAACATTCAAATATGTAATTGTATTTTTGGTTTTACAAAATCATTTTCTTACCAGATACCCTTGTTCCGTCACCATTATCGACCCATCAGAGGAATCGAGATGGTGTCTCTCTTGATCCACGCATCGAAAACTTAGAGAAACAATTGAACATAGAGTTAAAGGTGAAAGAGGGTGCAGAAAATATGATAAGGAGTATAACAGGGGGGCCGCATTCTCGCGACAAAAAACTTCTTGCCGAAGCTCAACAAATGCTCCAAGACTCAAAGGTCAAGATCGAGTATCTCAGAATGAGGATTCTGAAGGTAAGATTTTTATTTTATTTATAGTGTAAATTTAGATAAAAATTGTAAAAGATTCGCCATCTCCCTAGATACAGTAACATAAAATAAAATTGTAGCAGGCTGTTATGAGGTGGCATGTGTTATGATGAAAATGGATTATTTTCCTGTAGATCTATTTATTTAAATAACTATCGTACATATAAGTAATTTATTTAACACAGAATCTCACTACACCAATGGTGAATTAAGAACTGAACGGAAGGATATTCTGTTACATTTTGCTGGTGACTCATTTGTGCGATCATACGAAATATTCGTGATTATTTCCGGAAACTTCTCGTAAGTTCCTTTTGTCGTGTAGGTCTTGCGCGCCGTATGATTTCATTCATTAGTTGGCTTTGCTATAAAAGAAGAAAATGTGAATGAAAAGTGGATTGAATTCTGAAAAACCTTTTTCCATTATTCCATTTCCAAAACCTAGAATCCTTCAAAAATTTTCGTTCAGTTATGCCGTATTTGCCGAAACCATAATAATGAATGATTAGTTGCCGATCATTTAAAATTAGAACAAGCGTTATAGTAACAGACAGTTAATTTTATACTTTTTGATAATGATTTTCTAGTTCATTTAGAACCCACTTGATGAATATTAATTACCGAATCGACAGAATTAATGAACTTGAATTTGAAACAATGTCTCGAAGCCCACGTAGAGGCACGAAAATACTGACGCTTGCTTGCGCTTGTTTTCTATCGATACTCTTCAAATGAATGCATACTGTTATCTGTTACCAATTCATCAATCTTGGTCTGGAATATCTCTACCGTGACCGTGGATCCGTGGACTATCGAAGAACATGCTTCGTTATTACATGTATGTAGGTGTTGTATGTGTGTGTGTATTTTTTGATCCATATTTATATGTGTAGTTTATTTTTATTATTATTAACGTTTCTAGTTACTATCGGGTTGTTTGGAAAGTCATTTCATTTTTTTTTTGTGGAAATGAAAGACAGTTTTCGTATAATTAACAAATACTTTATTAAATTATATATTGACCGTTCTGGTCCAATACCTTTTGCCATCTTTCTGGTAGTAGCATAATTCCACGCTCATAAAATTTTTAGTCTTTATGGCAAAAAACTGATCGAGGAGGTTTTTGACCTCCTCATTTGAGGTGAAGGTTTTACCGTCTAAAAAATTTTGGAGTGACCGGAACAAATAATAATCCGATGGTGCCAGGTCTGGAGAATATGGTGGGTGTAGCATTGTATCCCATTCAAGCTGTAAAAGCTTTTGGCGAGTGACCAAACTTGTGTGAGGTTTCGCGTTGTCTTTGCTGATGAAGTGCATCATTCAGTTTGTCCAGCTGATGACAGTAGACTTCCGAATTAATCGTGTTATCCGGTAAAAGCTCAAAAAAAAACGATTCCTTTAAAATCCCACCAAACAGACAGCATCACCATTTTTTGGTGAATATCGGCTTTGGAAATGGTTTGAGCCGGTTCATCTTTCTTGCTCCATGACCTCTTGCATTTGACGTTGTTGTATACAACCCATTTTTCGTCCCCAGTGATGATGCGCTTCAAAAACGGATCATTTTCGTGACGTTTGAGAAGCGAATCGCAGACGTCAATGCAGCGACACAGATTTCTCTCTGTGAGAACATGGGGAACCCATACATCGAGCTTCGAGGATAATCCCAGGCCTTTCAAGTGGTCATAAACTGTTGAATTTGATAAATTTAACCTCAATCCGATCTCACGTGTTGTTATTCGCCGGTTCACATCTACTAATGCCTTTATCGCGTCTTTATCAGCTTCAACCGGCCTTCCCGAACGTGGTGCATCTTCGACATCAAAATTGCCGGATCGAAATTTAGCGAACCAGTTCAGGCACTGGCGTACTGTCAACACACCTTCTCCATACACATCAGTCAATTTCTTTCTGGCTTGAACAGCATTTTTACCCTTTCTGTAGTAAAACAGTAAGCTATGTCGAAAATGCTGTTTATCGCTCTCCATATTTAAAAGGGCACCAACGAAAAACTACTGCGTAGAATTAATTGGAATTTTTCACACACAAGCCTTGCTATATGAGCTCTCAAAGCATATAAAAATTATACGGCTTAAATGTGAAGTTGGGTGCAAAAGAATACAATTAAATCCTCTGTCGGGAAAAAACGAAATGACTTTCCGAACAACCCTATAGATATTTCCCTAGCACATTTGCTTTGCTAGTTCACTTGTCATCTAGTTTCTAGTGGACAACGACTAATCGTATACAGTATGCGAAAATTCTGATCTTGGCATTGAATTGTAATATGTCACTGTCATCAACAGTAGTAAAAGGCATGTCGACTGGCTGTTGCGTGTTGTGGTGTTGTTTGAAGAGGCACACAGATGAACGAATGTAGTAAGCGTCAATTCGCATAGTGTACCGTTTCAAGTTCTGTATGTTTATTTATGTCTTTTGCAACCGGTATAATAGATACAAGTTCACATCTAATAAAGAAAATTCGTGTTCGTACTTGTTACACGTTTCTTCTAGTGTAGCGGTAACTTTTTATTACGTCTGTTACCGTTTGTTGTAATTCTGTACGAGTTGTCGCAAAGATACAGGGTATACAGCATATTTACAGCACGGCTCTGTATGGGTGTGAAAAATGGTCGGTGAGGGCCGCGAAAAAGAAAAAATTAAAAGCTTGGTGTTATATAAAGATGTTAAACATACCGTAGATAGGAAAGACTAGAAATCGTCGAATGGACGTCATCTCAAACATGAAGGGCTAGTTAGAAACATAGCGTTAAGAGGGCTTGAAGTAGACTTGTCGGTTGACCCCCTTGAAGTTGGCATGACAAAATCAGCAGGAAAAATATAAACCATCGATAATTAGCCGTGAAATCCGAAAATTAACCGTGGAAACTACCAATGAAAAATTGTAAAATCGGTTAGTAAAATCCTAAACAGTTAGAACCGGTGATATAATTAGTCGCTAATTAATCGTTGACGATATAGTCTACTAACCAGGGAGTTGGAATTTTTCTTTTCAATATGGGGTCATTTCTCCATCTTGACTACCCGACAAGCGCTACTTCGAGTGAGATTATAGTGGGCCCTTTCAATCAGGCTTGAAACATTCTATAAATATTTCGCAAATTCAATGGTATTTTCCAAACATATGAAAAGAATGAACATTTCTATTGCTTATTTCCTTTTAAAAAATACCGTACAACACGCACAATTGCTGAAGGGCTATGGCTTTGGTACTGTTATTCAAAACTAGTTTTTTTTTTAATAAATTCATAGAGGTACGTTTTCAAATAAGTATGATGCACTAATCGAAAAATAATCAAATGTAACCTAAATATTTGCTTATGATATCATCTATTAATTGTTATTAGATTACGCATACATTATCAGTTGAATCACTGAATACACATATTTTAGTAACACGTATTGGAAAAAGTAAATTGATTGTAATAGTCAACATTGTAAGTGTTATGTCATATGGGATATTTTATAAAATGATAACGATTTTTATCATTTACATATTTCAATTATGAATGTAGTTTACGTCAAACCAGGTGACAGAATACCTTTTACTTTGCTATTATTAGTCAAACATCTTTAGTTAGTACTTTAGGCTAGGTTTTATTAGGGTTCCTCAACAGTTATGGTTCTAAATCGTAACCAGGCCTACGTTAAGAGTAGTAATGAGAAGTCAATTAATCGATTTTTATATTTTTTAATTAGTCGTTTTTGATATCTGTTTATAACTAATAAATTATCAAAAAGATATATTTTATTTATTTGAGTCAGTTAGACTACGTTTAGCTATCTAGAGAATTTTCAAAAGTAATCGATTCTTCTTATCATTAATTAAGGTTTTATGAAAGATCGTAATTAATAATTAATCGTTAGTAAAACATTACAAATATTTCAACAATGTTAAGGGCTAAACTCGACAAAGTTACGTATATAACATGGAGTTTAGTTTTAATGATAATGAAGTTGTGATGATTTAATTAATAAATATTAGTAAAAAATATTGTTACATACGAGCATGTATGTGATATCAATACATTGATTTCTGAATGCTCTTGAGGTCTTAAACTAAAGTTGCAAAGGGTAATAAATTATACCGTGAGTGACACATATTTAACAATAGGAAGTCTCGGAAAAAATTGAAGGCCGTTCGGGAAAATTCGATGATAATATACATTAGAATCCGCTTATAATAACATCGAAGGGAAATGACAAACACGTCATACTAAGCGGGCGTCATACAAAGCATGGTCTTTGGAAATAAACAATTTTTTATTTTGGTTAGTTATTTAGTTTAATAGAGCGAAAAACTACAAATTGTATGTATTTATTAACAGAAAAAGAAAAAGAACGATGAATTGTAATACCAATATACATAAGAAGGGTCAGAAAAATGAAACGAAAATGTTATTATTAACCATTTGGGTCACTATAGCCGGATATTATTTCTTGAGAATCGGTCATAATAAACGATATGTCATTTTAAACAGAGTCAGTATATTCAAACTTTCCTATAGAGAATTTAATATGAAAACCGAACTTAACACTGCAATTAGTTCATATTAAACGGTTGGTCAATATAGGGCGAGTCGTAACAAACGAATTCCACTGTATACAGACCTTCTGATGACAGTCGCATTTAGTATATACCAAGTGCTACAAATACAGTGACGAGCCTATAAATACCGTGTGATTTATGTAAATAAGAGGTAGTTTAAGTGTTTTGTTAGTGTTAGTAACTGTAATATATATATATACTCGTTTAAATACACGTGCAGAGCAATGCTTCATATTTATATTTTAACAACTCTTCGAATTTTCAAATTAACCGTTTGCTAGTACAACAGAAGTGAGTTCTTTCTGTTAAAAGCAATTCGATTCTATGGTATTCTTTGTGTAATATATTGGGATTTCTTATTATTGGGTTGTGAAATAAAATATTACTAATTAATTGATTAATAGTATATTGTCTATCTGTAGAGGACATAACACGACTAGAATAGCTAGGATGGGTTTAAGTACACACTCACTCGTACAACGTGCGCACTAACAACGATATACTACACTTTGTTTTATGTCTAATACTGTTTTTTTATCCTGCCTTATTCGAATTCCTATATTAGATATCGAAAATCAACGATTCCTTCCGGTATTTCGTCTCTAGTTGTTATAGGAGCTACATTTTGTCATAATTCTTGCATTTTATTTAAGGTTTACGACTTGATGTGTGTAGAAATTTAAGACTAAACGTGTAAAATTGCAATTATAAACTTAAATCGAAATGTCTCGATATTTTATGTGTATGCGTTTCGTTTCGAAACTGTTTGTACCTATTGGTGAAAACTGTTGGATGTTTGAGTTTCTAGTAATCGATACTGTCGATCGTCGATCATGGTGATTGATTAACTTCTTAAAAGGTATTTTTCTACTTTGTTACAGATGAGGAATAATTTGAATAGCAGACATCACCAGCACGGTTCAAACCACGACCTGTCGTTAAATGGTGAAGTGACAACAACCAGCGAACTTGAGCAATCTCTGGAAGAAAGAATCGAAGAACTAAGACATAGACTGAGAATCGAGGCAGCTGTTGTCGAAGGTGCGAAGAATGCCATTCGACTCTTACAGTATGGCAGCAAGGATAAAACGGAAAAGAGGGCCCTGTCCGAGGTGAGTTAATTATGAACAATTTTTAATAAAATAGGTAGATAGTTCAGGAGATTTAGAAAGAAATTCTTAACCAACCAAGCAGACTAAATAATGAAATTGATCGGTTCAGATAACTAGAATTGCTTTATCTGATTAGATACATCTTTTACTTATGTAAATCCGATATAATACATTTTTCCTTGTATGTATAAAAATACATATTACTCAATCCCTTTAGCCAATCGTGCAATTTGATTTTGATTATGGCAAAAAAAAACTATCAGTAAATAATCTACAATTATGAACTTGGATGACTGTCAAATGGAAGGCAAAAATTTGTACTTGTTTTTTGAAATGTGCAGATGCAAGTTATTAAAATCTGCTTTTACATTTACTGACTAAACCCTGAAATAAATGGAAAATAACTATAAACCAGGCTTGGAACGAATTTAAATCATCTGATTAATGTCATGATTTAAATCAATAGATACAAGGTTAAAAAAAATAGGTATTACCAAGAAAAATTTTGTAGTTCTTAAGTGAGAAATGAACGTCGTTCTTACATGAATATAAGGTCCGTATGGAGGCCGACTATCCAAATTTTATGGAAGAAACTACGGCGTTCAAGATAGTAAAATAAAAAATAAAATTGAGCAAACCTCCTTACATGCATAGTTAAAACAATCATTTCAAATTATAATATGCAATACGTTATAAAACTCGGCAGTTTTTATTAATTTTTGTGAATATTGCTATCACAGTATCACATATAAAATAAATTTAAATATGTGGTGATAAGGGTGTTGATTTCAAAACAATGTCGAGTGTAATTCAATGCAATTAAATTGATAACGATTTATTAGGATATTAACATAATGATATCATCTTTTCTGTCTCCAAATAATTGAGTTACAATTTTTTTGCTCATATCGAAACATGTTTTAGAAGTAAAAACTAGTAGTCCACATAAAATTTAAAATTTTAACTAGGTAGTATAGTGTTGAAAAAAGATTAAGGAAAGTTTTCTCAATTAATTTTATTGGGGCGAAGTGAGCAGAATGTGAGCAAAGGTCTCTATTTAGGACTTTCGGTTTCTTCAGGAGCAAGTTTGTAAAAAAAAATTTAAAATCGGACATGCTACGTAGGAATAATCACCAGAAAAAAAAAATCTTTTTTGTCTGATATCTCAAGAACGGTCAATCACAAATTTTCGAATTTGGCGCTAAAATAACCATCGTGAAACTGTATACAGCCCAAAAAAATAAAATAACAATTTGGACATATGTACTATCGAGGAATAATCGGTAAAAATTATTTATTGGGAGGGAGCTCGTGGCTTAGCTAAGCGAGTGACAATTCCTTACGTGTTTTAGTACATGCTGCATCGCTCCATTTCATCTTGCAGCATACTGCGAAGATTACTTTACTTTGTAAATATATTAGGTCCTACATATATCGTATGCGAAAATGCGAATCTTGGTGTCGAGATTCCCTTAAGATTAACTCTTTCGCAACCCGTATATCTATTATCTTTACGTCACTTATTAAAATTGTTCGCCAAACTTATTGCATTTTTTTATTGTTATATAAAATTAATCTACACTCATAACAGAACTTTTTGTTTGCACCTTAAACGGTATGAGTATCGTGTATAATAAGTCATTCGTTTTAATTATATAATTGTCTCCGCTGTAAATAGTGTTCTTTAAACTGTTTGTATCGATTTATAATCGCACTTGGTAGTTTTCACAATGGAATGGTTTAATTTAATAAAAAAAACAATCGCATGCCGTATCGATGTGTGCAGCGAATAAAACACCTTTTTTGCATAATCAGCCAACTGGAAGAAATGTTAGATTGCCGCAACCCTGTTAATAATTAGTGCATAACTAATGGTATTATCTAATTTAGAAGCATCAGAGTACATTTTTTATGTGTATTAAATGTGTAAAAGAAATCAAGTGAAATTTTACCCGTAACTCTATTTGTAAAGCAAATTCTAGCTATATGCATACATATCTCCTCGGTTAACAGTAATTAGCACACTATTAAGGCGTCTAATTAAAGATTGGATTTGTGTCTTAGCTATCCGTATACACGATTTTGTCGTTTAATTGGAATTTGATTTAATTTTTAATTAAGAGTCACCAATGTTTTAACGTGTCCGGCATGTGCAAATGTCAACATAGTCAGGTCAAATTAAGTTGCGAATGGTTTCCCTTATTGGCATACTTGCAAATTATGCACTATTGACAACGGTACTAACTTTGAACGATTTCAATGAATTGTTTAGTTAATTTGTTGTCATTTCTTCTTTTTATGTCTACGAGCGAGAATTCTATTTTTATAAGAAAAAATGACAGAAGGTATTTGTACGAATTTTCCTATAGAGTACCACATCGCATTTTTCTAAAGATGATGCTACCCATTCATAATTGCATGTACAGTAAAAGTTCTTTATTCACGGTTTCCTCATTTGCGTTTTCTTTATTCGCTGGTGAAAAAATTGCAACCCAGTTCCTGTATTCGCGACTAAAAATTTCATTGTTCGCGGATGCAATCGGTAGACAGAAAAGGATTCGGTGTCATTTATTAAGGGGATTGACCGCAATAGACCGCTCGTGCCTAGTGTAAATTTTTCCAAAAACATGGGTTATTATTCTAAACATTGTGATTTAACGCTGCTAGGTAAATATCTGATTTTTTGTATGGTAACAGACAAAGATTCACACTAACTCGGTACGTTTTTGGTTTTCAATAATATGGTCATTAAAAGTTTTTACACGTGCTTCTTGTAGGACACGTATTTTCAATAGAAATTAAAAAATGGCCTTCGACAGGCTTTAGAAAAGAGCTTTATCTATCTTACTACAAAATTTCAAACCTCTGTTCCAAAGATTAAACTTATGATATCTAGAACCGATAAGCATGTTTTTAATTTACGGCGCGTGTACTACTGAATCCCCCCAATGTATCGGCATCTTTTGACTATGTACTGTTGGTACGTACCGAGACAGCTTTTATAAAAGATGTATCCGAGTTAACTAATTCAAAATTCAAAACAAGTTTTTAAACCCCTGTCTAAAGGTGATTATAACGATTAATTTTAATTGCGAATTTCTCAATAAATTCATTTTATTCTGAACATATTGGTTTTATTTTGGAACCTTAGAAAGTATTCCCTATGATTCCATAGTAATTACCATTCCATATCCACGGTTTCTGTATTCGCGGAATTTTTATGGAACGTATATCCCGCGAATGAAGAACTTTTACTGTAGTAGGATATCCCTACAGGGTTTGTCCAGAAAGTAATAGGACTGAGTCGATTTAAAAAAATTTATTGAGCCAATCGTTACAATTCTTTAAAAACTTTCAAAATAGGCTCCTTCCTTCGGTGTTTGTCGAAGTCGAAGGCCTTCCAGCACGGTCTTCATCGGCGACCTCATCCCGGCCCTCTGAAAAGGCCTGGTGTCACCGAAACACACCACTTCTTGCTAAAGCAACATCTGGGTAAGCCTGCTTGATCATATCAAACGTCGCAGATTTACCGAGTTTCACACAGAATTTAATCGCGAAACGAACGCTGTATTTTCGGCTTGCACCACTCACAGAAACACGTCGCGCGAAAAAGCCTGTTCTGACTCTCCAGGTGCTCGTAGACAACTCACCAGCCGCTCGTTCGTTAGCTAGGAATGCCCTCTAGTGAATCCAGTCGGTGCGCGCACGCTCCGAAGTACAGTCGCGGCGGAAGAAAATCAGTCCTATTACTTTCCGGACAATCCCTGTATGTTCGTCCACTAGCGTTTATTTAATGTGGAATGAAATGAAAAAGGTTTCATTGATTTTGCAAACGATTGAAATTTTCTTCCTTATTTTCCCTCTACTGCAGCGGGTACGTATTTAGAAACAGTCTCGATTTGATATGTTTTTAACCAACGAACAAAAAGAATAAAAGTAGTACTCAGTTTTCCGTGTCATTTTTAATTTTGAACGGTTGATATTGTAAATTTACTGGATACGTACCTACAATCATTCGAAATGCGAATATAGGTTATTGACAAATTTCACGGTTAATTATTTATGGTATTGAACGTTATAAATAAGCGTTTATGAATAGATCGTTTTACGATACTTATGCAATATTACTTATCGTTAGTTATTATATGAATGTCCGTGTAATACGTACATACGTGTACGTCCCGTAGTTAATTATTTATTTGTGAGAACATTAATAATGTTGACTTAGAGTACATTAAACTTATAGGAAAGTTTATAAACATTTTGGTGAGAGTAATTGGTATTTTTTAAAAATTGTCGCAGATGGTACGTATATGATATGTATTATACAGTAAATCTGGATAATTCCAATTCTTACAATATGAACTTTTCGGTAATTCGAATTAGCAGTATAATAGCGTGGAATTCACGCGGAGGATGGTAATAATATCAGTGTTGACAAAAATATTTATTTTTTATTTAAAAAAATCAAAAATCGATCGCTAATTTCGGTCAGTTTTTAAGCTTTTATTAATATAAATACTGGTCAGTAATCATCGACGACCTCATAAAACTAATTTTTCTATTTATCGGGAATATCATTCTTTTTTCTGTACAAAATTTCATGACAGATTTTACCCTCGACTTCATTCGCGTTGATGTCTTAAATATCTATCAAATATCGTCATCTACCACATAAAACTAATTTTTTCTATCCCTTAGGAATAGTGTAGATACTATTCTGGATAAAAGGTACTCAGCGTCCTTTTCTGTACCCCTGAAAATGTGTACACAAAGTTTTGTGAAAGGTTTTACCGCAACATCACTCGCGTTGATGTCCTAAATATGTGTCAAAAGATCATCGACGACCATATAAAAAAAAATAATTTTTCTATATCTCGGGGAAGGAATATTGCGCTTCTGTCCTTGAAATCAGGGAAAATATCGTAATCATTGTCGGTACCCGACTGGAAATTAGTTAGTGGATTGGATTCGATGCGGATCAGAATTGCCTGAAAATTGATCAGAAATAAATCAGGCTTTCTGATCCGGGTATGATGGAAAATCGTCACGCCGTATATGATCAACATAGGATTCATTTTAAAAATCCATGTCGGATCTGTTTCTAAGATCCATGCTGGACCGATTCAACAGATTCATTCCCGATCCAGCCAAAAGATTCATACCGGATCTGTTTAAAGGATCAGGATTATTTTTTATTATTATTATATGAATTTTATTA